TCCTATGAATGAGGGAAGAGGAGAAAAGTCTAGTATGCATTTAGATCAGTCACGTACTTTGATAATTTTGTAAGGCCACTGATACTCTAGTGGTAGATGTGGAATACTTTTGCACCACTGAGCAGACTTTAGTATGATTTTCTAAGGAATCATAATCTTAGTAGTTAAGGAGTTAATTATTTTCGTTTGACCCCCATGAGGAAATAATCTACCTACTTTGAGGGCCGATCCACCACTGGCAAAGAAAGGGAGGAGGAGAGAAACCTGTGTAATAAAAAAGGCCAAACTGAGTCTTAGCAGAGTACAGGTGAACCATATCCACAGGATGGTAGTTGAAAATAAATGTCAGGAAGTTTATTGTGAATTGATAGCTGCAAAGTTATGACTAAGAGGAACAGGAAATTTCTCTTCTGACAGCCACAACAATAAAAAATAGGGCTTAAAATATCCTATGGATAATGTGTAAGATTCTTGGGGAGTTCCCAGGACTCACTGAGTTCTGACTGAGCAGTAGGAATCTGTCATTTTTCATTTATGACCAAACTCTTTGCACTTTTTTTCCAAATGTATTTGAAAAAAGCAGGGTATACCAATTTTATTTTATAGCACACCTTGCATTCTAGATTGTTAGGCCAAGACCAAAATCTAGATGTCTGGTAGCCATAGTGCAGTTAGTAGTTGGGCTCCTAGATTTAATCTGAAGGAAGCACAATGAAATGACTAGTTCTTATTCCAATGTATGTCCATTTTGAAGCAATCTTTAATTACCTTATTACATGCCATTTTTCCTCATATGACTGTGAATGCATTGTACTTTGGGGAAGAATCAGCACTGGGTTGTGAAGAAGATGGGGGTATGATGGACCTTTGTCTCACTTGTTGAAGAAGTTGTGAATGAGGCTGAGAAACGGAGAGGGAATGGTTTTATGGCTCATATTATCCTCGATTCAGTCATCAAGCTTCTATCTATACGATACTGGTTGAGTCACTTAGATCAGTTTTTCACACTTGGTCTGTTTTTGCATGTTCCTTGTTTTCTGGGTGTCCAAGTTCAGATTTTTAGAAGTGCTGAGAAGTCAAAACGGCAACCAAAGTTCACTTTGAACACATAAACTGCTTTAAATGTTAACTGCTCTGAAAGAGTAGATCCTCAAATTTGGTGTCTAAAATTGGTGGACGCTTGACAGTATTAGTTTAATCTCTGTGCTTTAGTTCCCCATGTGCTGTAAAGATGTTTAAATGATGTTTGTGAAGAAATATGAAACCATATTAACAGCACTGAAGAAAAGCTTGGTAGAAATTTCTGTAACAATTCTGTACTTAGTGCAGGATTGGGGTGGTGTACAGCAAATAATGCAGAAGTCTCACACTTCATGATGAAGGTAATAAAGAAATATACTGAATGCAGTATCCAATGCCTGAATGAGGCAGGAGTTCTTTTGTAAAAATAATACAGAAACATATATATGGACCACCATAATGCAGATGAACAGGAAGGCTGAACAAAGAAGTGGAGAGTGCCCCCACTACATCTATTTTATAGTTAGGGCATTCTCCTGGGAAGAAGGTGGCTGTTAAGGGTGGCTGTTCTCCTTGGAAGAGGGTGGCTGTTGATCAGGCTCTACTGCTGAGCTGAATTCAGTGCTGTCAGTATAAGTTAAACACTGTATTTCCTTTTCTATGAGTGTTGCCTCTTTAGGGACATAGGTAGAATTTAAGTGCCTCCCATGTACAATCTGCCTAAACTCAATTGTGATTTGGTTGTTAGGTGCCATGATACACCTCAGTGGTTTACCCAAATCATTTCTGAGCACATGCAGTAGCCATGTTGTAGATACCTAGGGAACTATGCCATCCAATATAGCAGTGCCTAATGAACTCAAGTGCATAATGAGTTTTGTGGCAGCTGGCACAAGGTCGCACAAGGTCTTTGGAACCGAGGTGCCTACACTCTTGCCAAGTCCAATTTAGGCACACAAAGAGTCACTTTGAATTTTGCCCAAGATTTCAACAGATCAAGGAAGATTTTCCAGATTGAATAGAAAATCTGGAGGCAGTACTTTTCTTTTTGCTTGAGCTAGGAAGCGCTTGAGAGTTCAAGTAACTATATTTCTAAGAAGAGTGGAAGAAAAAAGGCTTGAAATGTAGAATGCCTTGGGCCAGATCTTAACATTGATTGAGACTAACCAACAGCTTTTTAGACCCCATCTTCTGGCTGAACAACAGCCCAGAATAGTGCAGGGCTTTAAAGCTGACACTCAAAAAGTTACATTTATTGATTCCCCTTTTTACATTGTTATAAATTGGATTAATGAAGACTATTCTACAGCTAAACATCACTACTGTATTTCAAAGTCTGTGTTTAAGGCAGTAAAGAGGAACACAGTACTGTTAGAGCTACTGCCATTTATCACCTAGAACAGAAACTTCAGTTTGCTAATTAGATTTTTTAATATATCTGAAAACTTCTTGATACGGTCATATCTCCTACTTCAAATTCCTGACAGTCTCATTTGTTTTTGCAGCCAAACCAATCTGATAAGATTTTACAATGTATCTATGACAAAGATTGTGGGAAGATGAAGGCAAGGTTAAGAGTACTTATCCATAGTTTACACTGCACTGCATTATAAGGATGTTATAAATTATCCTGAACCCACGCACTAGAAAATGCTGTAAATTCACAATTATGAATAAACTTCAAAGAAATCCCAACATGTTGAAATGTGTAACTACAGTCAGTGCACCACAAAACCTTACCTCTAGTCCCATCGTGAAGAAGAAAAATGGAATGTGTCACTGTATAGCATGTACACTGATTCTTTTAAAAATGTATGTGGTCTACCCGATTGTTACAGAGCCAATATGGTCTTAAATAAAATGCTTGGAGTGCCTATCAGTGACTGCTGCTCCTAGCCACAGGGGCCGCACTGGAATCAAGGGCTCCAATGGGCCCTCAAGGCTGGGAGCTGCAGTAAGCTGCCACTCCCAGCCACAGGGATACATCAGAGTCTTTGACTCCAATATGCCTCTTGGCTGGGAACAATGGCAGATTGGGACTCCCAGCCACAGGGCTTCAGCTGGAGACAAAGGGTTCCACCATGCTCCTGTGGCTGAGAGCCCAGTCAGCTGATCTGGTACACCATGATCAGCTGAAGAGGTACACCATGAGCCCCCACATCTGGGAGCTGCAGATCAACTGCTGGGACTCCCTGCTGTGGGATCTTGCTACTTGCTGGTGCAGGGGAACCCAGGATCAGGATCCCAGGTTCCCCCAACACTGGCAATACGGCGTGATGGGATGTAATGCTCAGTCCCACTATCACGCCTCCTGCCATGGATGTGTGTCATGGCAGGAAGCGCGATTATGGGGATCATGCCTCAGATCCCACTGTGACTTTAACTTCATGTTTGCCAGGGGCCAGCAAACAGATGCTACTGATATCAATAGGTAGGGCTGACAAAGGCATTCTTGTGAGTATCTGCTCAGTAGCATACATCAGCAATAGCTTTATAAATGCAATTTCTACCCACCAGCCTTTTTATATGTAGACTATAAAACGATTTTTTTCTTGGATTGAGCCCTTGCTGAGAAATTTCATCTGAAAGTATACTTTTGTGGTGGAATTCTAGGCAGCTATTAGTCTATCAGCACGTATGTGCATGTGTGTAAATTACTGTAATGGGAAAACTAGGAAACCCTTTTCCATAGGTATGGTATGAGCAGAAACTACTATAAAGCAAGTATTACAATATAAACGCAATGTAAACACCCTACTAGTTATGCTAAAATTTAAAAGAAGTGGGATGGAACAATTACCAGTGCAGTTCTGTTTCTTTTTATTACTACTAACAAGAATGATGTTTTTTTTCTTCCACTAAAATTAACGAGTTTTACCATAGTTATTTTTCACTATTTGGCTTTAATAAAATATTTACCCCTATTACATTCAGGAATGTCAAGAAAATAGCTATCTGTAAAAGAAGGTTTATTGTAATTATACCATAAAACTTGGCTGGTGGGGTAACTATTACCAGTAAAGCACATCCATGAGGTATAATAAAAACACAGTAGTATAAAAATAGAGTGCTCTGGATTCATAAACAGTACAGTATAGTTATCTTGAGAGAGCCACCACAAAGGAGATGAACCGTGTAAAAAAAAGAAAATATTGGTAGTTTTAAAGATTTTTTTTGCTCAAGAAAAGAAAAAAAGTGAATGATATATAATCTTTTTTCTCCTAATGAATAGTAAAACTGCCAGCCAAATACCTAGGTGCATAGTCATCCTCCAAATCTTGGAAGAACAAGTATAGAATCAGTTACTTATAAGTTTCCGGGTATTTTTATTTTTTGTATTTGAAACTTCTGACACCCCCATTATGTGAAGTCTAGCAATGTGATGTTAGAAAAAATGTCCTTATGGTTTTTTTTACCTTAATTTTGAGTTTACTAAATTACAATACATTAAGTTCTTGTCCTTCTCGTCTCTTCATTTACATAAGATACATGGTCTATATTGCTCCATATCCCAGAGCTAAATGAGAAATATCTTTTAACAGCAATGCTTGCAGGAATCAAGTACTGTGGGACTTTCTTCAAGATCATGGAAAGGTGAGGAGCAGTGCTAGGGAGACTTCTTTGTACCTGATTAATGAAGAGATCATATAAACACCTGCTGACCTTGTGTACAAATCCTCCCAGGACTGATTAAACAGCTTGTGCGTACATCAGTATGCATTAACCTTTCCAAAAGATGCTATCAAATCCCAGAGTCAGTGATTCTATTACAGCATCCACATTATTTCAACCTCAAAAACAAATACACTTGTTTTAATATTTTGGATCAAATTCTGACCTTAGTTATACTAGGGTAAATCCAGAATCAGTTCACTAAAGTCAGCAGAATTACTATTGATGAACAGTCGTTTGAATGAGTGCAGCATTTGAACATACATTTTTGGAGACAACAACACTAGTACAGATACATTTGGATGTACCTTCTGTCTGTAGGATACAGTTCCACAGTAATGACATCCAGGGAGTTCCATGCTGAGATGGTGAGACCATTGTAGAGACACAGCATACCTATCATCATAGATTCACTGGTACCAAACCAAAGGAAAAAACAGCTAATTCCAGAGAGAACCATAGATCCACCTGTATGTAGGGCAGATACAAAAAAACAACAAAACAGGTTAATGTTTTTAAAGTGCCAGCCTTGCTTGTTTGGCATAGCAATGGCATTTACACACCAAGAAGACTAAATAGCTTACACTCTAAAATGGAACCAACTTTTTTTGGCAGCACTATGGTCCACTTTGCTAGTCATTACACAACATTAATTTATATGCTCTATTACTGAACAAGGCTGATTAAGCAGGACTATATATATGGCATTACTCATCGAAAATGAACATGATAAAGTATGTAGTTATTTAAGTAAATGAACATAAAATTGGTCATCAGAGATGGTTCATAGGAGATACACAATTTTCAATCTCCCCTGTAGTTTGCAAATGGAAACGAGCTTATGGCCTGCTATAAATAGCATTTGCTAATGGCAAGCCAGCCACTTGAGCACAGTTCCATTTCCTCCTAATGGGGGTGGGGAGAGGCCAATGGCAATCATTTTTGAAAACCCAGTGCAAGTGCTGAATAATTAAATACTTACCTCATTTTCATTCTGACACATTCCAATGTCTGGATTTGTAAAAGGCCCCTCGAAGTATATATTAATGAAATACCCATGTCATGGATTTCTTCTTACCTTTGTAAACTGCAAAGCCTCAAAGAGAAAACTTTTTTTGTCTACATTGCTTTCAGTTTGTTCTATTTCTTTTCCTCCCCATTTTAATGCACATCCCATACCTAGCATTGTTAAACGCCCAATTCTGTCCATGAGAAGAGCAGACACAATATTCCCTGGTAACACTGCCAAAGTTCCCAGGAAATTAACAAAGTAAATCCAATAGGCACTGTAGTCATCATCAAAGGCAATCTGACATCCCGTATTGTTGCGATCAAATGAACAGTTCACAAATTTACTGTCAATAAATTTATATTCCTCAAAATCTGTGGAAACAAGGAGAACAACAGCTAATACAGTCTCAGCTAACTCATACCATGACAAGTATGTGACATAAAACATTACAATCTTAGACAACCTTCATGAAAAATAGGAGCATAGATACTGGTTTGCTTTGTATATAATGGTGAGGGCAAGTTACTGCCGGTTATGTTTTTCTTTTACACACACACACACACACACACACACACACACACACACACACACACACGCCCCCCTTGTGGTAAATGCAGAGCTCTGAAAATAAGGAAAAGAGGCCTTAATGCAACATGCCACATAACAATGGGCTTCAAGTTTCATATGTACTGTACTGGACTGGGGCCTGGTATCATGAATACTGTAGATGGACAGATGAACAAATTACAAGCTTCTACTGCTTAGCATCATCCATGTCTCTCAGTCTAGCTCAGGAACAGACCTGTTATTCCAGACCTGGGTCTCACTTGAGCAGAGACTGCCAATCATGTTGTGGGGGGGTTGTGGTGAAAGCAAATTGAAAACCCAGGCGAGATATTTTATTTTGGAAGCAAAACATTTATTGGGCAGTTTTACTCTGCAAAAGTAGCAGTTTAGAATTCTGAGTGTGTCTGCTCTGGAATCTGAATGGAAATAAAACAAGGTTTTGCTAATTGGAAGCTCTGCAGACTCAGCCTAAGTATTATTTTTTCTTTTTTAATGGAACTAAAAAGAACCCAGAGCACTAGTGTCTGCTCCAGTTTACGGTCCACCCCCATTGCCATTTATTTCAAGAGCTACCATTCGAGGCCAGGGTAAACCAATACAATGATGGAGCTGCATTTTCATTTGCTAGGTTTTGAACCAGGAAGTGGACAGATTACCAGGGATCCTGGTTTTCTCTGATAAAAGACTTGCAAATTCTCTGATTAAGAACTCCAAAATCTGCAATTAAAATGAAACACCACTATGTATACAGGTATCAGTTGAATCAATGTTGTATTGATATATTTACATTTTAAAAGCAATTTGGAAACCTACCAGTGCCTCAGTCATTATAATAAAATATATTCTAAATACCTATACATTTTGGTGTTTGATTTGGGGTTTTATATCATGGAAAATCAGAGCTCCCCCTGCCCCCTTCACTCACCAGGACACAGATCCAGACCCCTCACTTCCAAGCCAGAGTCCCCAACCCTGCTGGTGCCCCTCACTCCCCAACAACAGCCCTCTGGCCCTATGCTGGTGCCCATCACTCCCTACCCACAGCCCCCCCACCCCTGTCAGTGCCCCTCACTCTCCACTTGCAGCCCTCCCACCCCTGCTGGTGCCCCTGACTCCCCACCCACAGTGACCCTGGCCCTGTCAGTGCCCCTCACTCCCCACCCATATCCCCTCACCCCCAGGCCTGCTGGAGGGTCCCCCAGCTGCCAGAGGTAGGGGGCCAGGGATCCAGCCCCCTGCCCCCTGCCCCCCGACACCAGTGCCTGAGCTCTGGCTACTGCCCACAGGAGACAGTGGATGCTGCAGCAAAGTGGAGTGCAGAGCCCAGGTCCCCCTCCCCCATGGGCAGCATGGCCGGAGCAGAGCCCATGGTGGGGCAGGTGCAGGCTGCCTGTTGCAGGCTTGGGCTCCACACTTTGCTGTCATCCCCCTGGGGCGTCTGTGGCCCGAGTGGGACCTGGCATAGCAGGGCAGAGCTGGGCGGGGTGGGGAAGCTCCTTGCTCCTTACTGCTGCAAGCTCTGTGCTACCCTGGCAAAGCACCCCTTGCCCACTCGGCAGCAGTGAGGAGCACAACTCTATGCCATAACCCCTTACTGCTGACAAATGGGCAGGGGGCATTTCACCATAGCAGGACAGGGACTGCAGCAGCAAGGAGCTTCCCTGCCCACCCCTGCTCTACCCTGCCATGCTAGGTCCCACCCACTGGGCTGTGGATGCCCTGGAGGAGGGCAGCTGGGCAGGGAGCCAAGCCTTCAGTGGGCAGCCTGCATCCAACCCCACCCCACACACAGTTCTCAGGGGCACATGTCCCCTCTGCTTCTTGCCAGAGTGTGTGGAGCGGCAGGGAGCCAGCCTCCATCCCGCCCCCTGCAGACCCATCCTACTCCTTGCCGTGGCCCTGCAGCAGTGCATTCTGGTCTCAGGCCCCAACCCCCACGCACTGCCCCAGCTGGACAGCAGCCTCAGCCCCAGCCCCAGCCACGGCCCTGCCCAACTCCCTCCCTCCCTATGGGGGCCTCAATCCCCTCCCCCCAAGACTTACCTGCAGGAGATGCTCTCTAGGCTGCCTGATGGCCATGTTTACTGGGGCTGTGTGAAGCTTCGGTCTCTGATTCAATTTGGTGGAGATTTGGCCTGATTCGGTGGCCGAATCTCCAAATCCGAATCAAATCAGGAGATCCTTGAATCTCTCTGAATCAAATCAGAACCCTCCAAATCAATTCAGAGTGATTTGGAAAGATTTGGTGATTTGGACATAGACACAGCTTTAAATGTTTTTTCTGCATATCTCTAGGTAGCAAGTGGCTCGTCAACACTGCAATGCTTGGGCAGATGGTGTGTCCCACAGGAGTGTGGGGGGCTCCGCAGTGCACTCAGCAGCAGACCCGGAAGTGGACCAGAAGCACTTCTGGTCCACTCCCGCATCCACCAGGGACTGTGCAGGGGATCCCCCCATGCTCCCTCTGGCTCGGGGACTGGTGCCTCCTGGGTCTGGGGGCAGCACCTGGGGTCCCCCTGCAACTGATCGTTGAGCCGGGGGAAGTGGTGGGGAGGGGCAGCCCCCCCCCCGCATGCTCCCCAGCGGACCTGGAAGTGGACCGGAAGTACTTCTGGTCCACTTTCAACTTTGCCACCGAGCATGTGGAGGGCTCCCCCACACTCCTGTGGGACACTCCATGCGCCCCAGCATCGCAGCGTTCATGAGCCACGCTGGTACCTCAAGGTATGTAGAAAAAACATTTAAAGCTGTATCTATGTCTGAATTGCTGATTCTCTAAATCAGCATCAGATCTTCAGATTCGGCCAAATTGAATCAGGAACAGTGATCTGAATTAATGAATCGAATCAATGTCCCTGATTTGGGCTGAATCCAAATCTGAATCAAATAGGGCCTGCTTCGCACACCCCTAATATTTATGTGTGCACAGGGAGCCCCCTGCCTGACTGCCCTCCTTCTACTCCCCCCAGCCCCTTGCAGGCTGCAACTCTGCCAGACTGCAGAGAGCTCTTTGTACACGTGGAAAATCTGCATATTTCTGTTAAAATGAGAAATCCACATTTTTCTCAGGTAAAAGGGAAAATATCCATTTTTCCATGGGAAACGGAAAACCCAGATCCCTGCAGATTATTAAGTGCAGATAATTTGTTAGCCCCCTAGTGTCCTCCAAAGTTCTCTCCTGACCAACATTCCATACATTTTCCTTCACTTGTTTCTCTTGCTCCTATCAGCCATAGGGTATTGAGTCATAGAATCATAGAAAATTAGGGTTGGAAGGGACCTCAGGAGATCATCTAGTCCAACCCGCTCCTCAAAGCAGGACTACCTCCAACTATATCATCCCAACCAAAGCTTTGTCTAGCTGGGTCTTAAAAACCACCAAAGATGAAGAGTCCATAACTTCTCTGGGTCATCTGTTCCAGTGCTTTATGACCCTCCTAGTGAGAAAGTTTTTCCTAATATCTAACCTAAACTTCCCTCGCTGCAACTTAAGACCATTGTTCCTTGTTCTGTCAGGAAGACCTTATCTCTAGCAAAGTCAGCTGGATGCTAATCCTAGTGAAAAACCACTAATTTCCTCTTGTAATGGTTATAGGAGCTGCTACAGAAAAGAGCTGCTAGTGGTTAAGCCCATTGAGGCAGATTATGATTGCATTTTCCCTAAATTCAACTGAACTAAATGGAATTACTTTGGATTTACCCCTGTAAAAATAAGACCAAAGCCTAGCCTCTGGAGCATTCCCAGCACGTACTGGTTTGGGTGCTGCTTGAGGAAAGAGAAGGAAAAAGTAAGTATGTGTTCTGAACTTAGATTCCCTCCCCTCAAACATGGTAGTGCATTGTATTTCACCCAACAGAAGCTAGTCACCTCTGGCCTGTATATTTATAAAGCTTTCATTCAGCCAAAAGAAACAAAGCTGTTTACTGCAACCAAAAGAGATGCTCACTATCTGAACTGATAGTAAGCATGTGATCATTTTTAAAAAGGGTGTGCTCCATTATTTTATCTTACATAACCTTATAAAAGGCAAGGCCTATCAGAAATAAGATTGATGTATTGAGACCAAAAAATGAAATGAGATGATGTAATTTGACAGTGATAATGATTTCTTTGTTTAGCATACCTGTGTTGTAGAACTTGGTATACATAAAAGTGCAGTTCCTGAAGTACGTGTTTATTGAAGTAACATCTTCAAATGTGCAGTTTTCAAAATGGAAATTTTGAAAGGTTACTGATTTAAATTTCATTGTAGTAAACCTGTCCAATACAAATAATTTCCATTAGTCTGTCTTCATGTATAATGAATAGAGAGACCCAACACATTCAGCTGTGTGGACTTACATTGATGCCCTTCACACTCCCCACCCATCCTTACTGGAAGGATAAGGCAGTGTCAGAAGCTGATTAGCTGATGCTATGCCATCATTTTTCAATATATTGATTTCCCAAAATACCATCTCCACTCAGCTGCTCAACATACAAAAGGATGTAATTTCTTTATCATCTTTAGTTACTAATTAATAAGATGACAGGATCAACACTAGTATAATAGACTAGTTAAGGCAGATTTAAATTGAATCTCACAGTTTTTGTAAATTTTGAGCTAGTCTCCAGAAATCTGGTCTCTTGGAACAAACAAACAATGGAGATTCCAACAGATTTTTAAAGAACCTTTACTTCTGCAGCTGAATGCTTTTGACCCTCTCTTCAGAGTTAGGCTCAAAAGCATTTGGGCCTACATGTTCGGAACATCGTTTGCCAACATTTTTAATGCGAGCATAGCATTGGACTGATATAATCACCATCATCATCCAGTTAGACAATGACCTGGCAACAGCAATTAGTATGCCCAGAAATTATACACAAGTATTTTTGTTCATACAGTTCTAAAATTGCATCTTTCTAATTAATGGTTCTTTTTATGTTCTTCCCACTCCTTAGTGAATGTCATTTAATTAATATAGGCTTTTGGGTACCATTGTCTATTAAATAGTATTATCTCCCAAGAATAATTATGTTAACATTTGTAGGCCATATGTACAACAGAATTCTTTGCCAGCCAGAAGTGCGATAACATATGATCTATGACTGACATAGCTGTTTTGACATAAAGCCCTAATGCAGATTCAGTTATGTTAGCAAAACTGGGGTTTTGCCAATACAGCTTATTTCACCATGATTGGTCTAACACTTTCTGCTATACTACCTGAACAAATTTCCCATGACTTACACCAGAATGGCTTCATACTTAAACTCAAAAAGCATTCTACTTTAGGTGGAATTGGGAGTAGAATTACAAGTTTACTCTATGGCTGATAAAAAAAAATATAGCAAGTATTAAGCTCTCACGGATAAAATGATTAGAATCACTTTTTATCAGGAAAGGAAGCACAATGTTTTATTCCAATTGTCACAGGTAAAATTATTAGCTAATGAATTCTCTGCTAGTATCAGACAGGCAAATGAAGCCTTCAGCCTATTAAATGGTTAGCTACTGTATCTTTTCTACTTTGTAACTAATTTCAGACTGGAGGTCAGTGGCCATCCATTATCATTTCACACAACCTCATCCCACTTGCCTACTTAAAGTTTCCTAAACTAAAAGGGAACAAAGAGAATAGAGGAACTAGACTGATGATGACCTCTCCTGGATTCCCCCACCACCAAAAAAACCCAAACACTGCATCAATAATGCTCTAGGTTCTTGGAAATCAAATCCAAGCAGACAGTGCTGGTTAGAAAGCTGACTATTTTTTGTTACATTTTTAAATTAGAATTGCTGAGTGAGCAAGGAGAAAAGAAAAACTATATACAGTAAACCTTCTTATGGGAAAAAAACCCAGAAGAGTTGAAAAGAGAGGAAATTGTTTGATCCCTCCAGGAGCATAAGCTCATCAGCCCTCAAACTTCACAAAGCTTGCATATTTCATAGATTCTAGATAGACTTGGGAGCTTCAATGTTTTTACACACATTTTTATGAAGTGATCTACATCAGACTGGCAGAATGCACTGTGACTGAGATGTATTAAGTGAGAATAAATGGTTCCACGTTTTGAAGGGACTATTCATCTTCTGAAATGGAATCGAATTTGAAGGCAGAAGCAAGCTTAAAAATAAGACAGGCTGGTTTTTCCTGCAATTTTGAACTTCTCTGTACTACACAAAACTGTAACTAGTTCAAATTCTTATTACAAAGGAAGCCTTCTTATGTTACCAAAACAATTACTGTTATTAACTTATATATATTTTTATTACATAAGCAATGACAACAAGGCCAACCAGGCATGACCAAGCTTAGAACCTTAATATGTTTTATTTGTAGCTATACTACTAACAGCCACTGAATATAACTCTATTTTATTATCCTTTACATAAGTCAGTAAAATTCTAGCTAGTGGCTTAAGACTTATGGACTCAATTACTAAATAAATAAATAAATAAATCAAAAGGACAGGAATGTTTTTTTCTTTTTCCTTTTACAGCAGTTCTATTGATTTCCTCCTGCTTTTAGCTTTTCAACTGCATCTTTTTCTGTGTTAAGAGCTGATCCTCTGAGGCAGTCTATGCTCCTGAAGCTCAGCATTTTGTCAGAAGAGGTCTTAAATGAGTACAAAGGAAAAAGCAGGAAGCAGAAGGACACTGAACAAACTACCCTTTCTCTCAGTGCAGGAAGTAAAATAAACCTCCTTCCAAGCATTAGGCCTGAAAAATCAGTCTCTCTGTGAAATGAAGCAAAAATTATGCATATTCCTTGGTTTGCTTCCTCAGGGAAACAAAGGGAAAGGAACTCATTCACCCATACAGACCCTTTCCCCCCTATACAGTCCAATTTACCAGAATATGGCAAATGTCTTTGAAAATCAAGCCCTAAGGAAATAAGAGTAGAACCCATCTCCCAATGTGCCCCCTCCTCAGACTATTAAATATTAATATTGAAAAGTGTTAGTTTATTAACACATAACCATAAAACTTAAGTTAAATTAGCAATATTTTCTTAACCAAAACAGGATATGAAAGTTTTTTTCTAGACCTGTCATTGGTAAACTCTCCATCAATGTGGATCTGATTTTCCAATGTGAAATTGAAGTTGGTATCAATATATTTCTTCCCATAAAAACGATGCACTTCAGATGCATATTTTTCTGACTGCAGATGTTTAATGACATCGGGAAACCAAACAGATAGGCCATAGTAGCTGTGAAAAGGAGAAAAATATTCAACCATGGAGTTTACCTTTAGTTCAGAACTGTGTATCAGACCAAGGAGCCAACTGGTACCATTGAAATATCTTAAGCAAATGACTGGATTTTACACAAGCACTTTTAAAGTAGGATGCTTAGATTTTTTTAAACATCAGAATGATTTTAGGAGGAAATTTATTTCAGTTGGCTAAAGGCAGACTAATAGAGTTTTACAATGATAAACAGTATAAGAGATGTGAGGGAGAATCCATTTCTCAACCTGGGACCAGAACTCCTGGAGGGGGTCTCCATGTGCAGGGACATGTACTTGTAAAGGCACAAAATAGTGTGCTGCTGCTTTGTGCCCTATTGCATACTCCTGCAAGTGTGCTTTGGCATGCGGCAAATTGTCCTGGGTAGGAGTAGGGCAGGTTAGGGTCAGCATCTGTGCTGGCCCCAGCAGCATTACCTGGTGCCCTGGTGTGGCAGGGGCACAGATCCAGCAGCATGGAGCCTGGCCAGCAGCCACAGCGTTGGTCTGGATGGCCACCCCCCTGTTTGTTGCAGCACATGCTACTGACACATGCTCTGTGCCACATTTTTCCTCCTAGTTTTTTTTGCTACTGGAATTTCCTGGTAGCAAATTTTGCCACTGCAATGCAAATTTGCAGCATGGCACACGTTTTTACCTTCCCTGTGTGCAGTTCGTGGCACCACAAACCAGATGCTCCTGCACATGGGGACCCACCCCTGGATTCAATGACCCCTTTACTGCTGCTGGGTTAGGTGTTGTGCTTGCATGGGCAACAGGAGCACTGGACCTGTGGGATCAGTGATCTTTCCTTTTATGATTCACAGTATAATCATTATCATTGCAGGACTGGCAGAAACACCAATTTGGGATTATAGGGAGACGCAGCCCTCTGTACGGTTACTCTGTTAGCAGTGCACACTATGCAGTCCCAAGATAGAACTTATGTGGCTGGAAGAATCTTTCACAAGCTCTTTTCATTAAAGTGAACATCATTATTAAGATTACTGGATTTTTGGTTGTAGCCATGTTGGTCTAAGGACATTGGCAGGCAAGGTTCTTTGAGTGATATCTTTTATTAGACCAACTGAGTAGCTGGAAAAAAAGTTTTAGGCAAGCTTTCGGATGCAGTCACCCTTCTTCAGGCATAGGGAGTCTCTGCTGGCCTGAGACTCCAAGGAATGAGAGAAGCTAAATGTGTAACAGGATGTCAGTGAAAATGTAAATAGGTAGAAATTAGAAAGACAAAAGGTAAAACAGGTAAGGGAGGGGGAAGCAGGCAGGGGGGAAAAAGGCCAAAGGGAAACACTACAGTGATAATAGTAATAGCACAAGGTAAAAAAGAGAGGCTCTCAAAGAAAAAGGAAATGGTTGGAAATCAGGAAGACAAAAGGCAGAAAAGTAGGGGAGGAGGAGAGAAAAGGTGGGGGGAAAAAAGAAAGTAAGAGGTCAGGTTAGGCATGTACCTGATGAATCAGATGGCAGGCAGGTTGTAATGCATCATAAATCCAATGTCTATATTGAGTCCATGATTTTTTGTATCTACTAGATTTATGAGGTTTAGTTTGCTGCGCCCCAAGTATTTAAGGTGCATTATGCCACTCCATTTCCTACAGCAGCTGGAATTAATGCGCAATACACCACTGAGCCGTGTAAACACTGACACCATTAAAGCAGTGCAAAAGCATTTAGCCCACTTTAAAGGGTCATGCACACACACACACACACCTTGTTTTGTCTACACACAACGTTGGATATTGATCATGGCGTCCAAAAAGGAAATGCTGGTGTTAGAGTATTCAAGTGATAATCTGATGGAGAGGTGATGATTGTTGGATTTTTGGTGGAAATCAATTAGAGACTGCAGGGCTCAAGTCCAAATGATGAAGATGTCATCTATGTATCACAGGTATAGTAAGGGTTTGATGGTGTAGTTCTTGAGGAAGTCTTGTTCTAGGTGAGCCATAAAAAGGATGGCATATTGTGGGGCCATTTTGATGCCCATGGCTGTGCTCATGGTCTGGAGGAAGTGTTGGTTGTTGGAACTGAAGTTGCTGTGTGTGAGGATGAAGTATGAGTTCAGTGATATCCTGGGGTCTGTACTCTGAGTTGTAGTCTTGTTCTTGTAGCTATGTGAGGCAGGCTTGTATGCCATCCTGTTGTGGGATGTTGGTGTATAAGCTAGGGACATCCATGGTGGCTAGGAGGGTATTGCTGGGAAGGTGGTTTATGTTTTTGAGTTTTTGCAGGAAGTCTGTTGTGTCTGGGATGAAACTCGGTCTTTGAGTGATGAGCAGTTTTAAGATGGATTAGATGAAACGTGATATTTTTTCTGTTAGAGTTTCATGATTAGAAATGATAAGTCAGCCAGGGTTTCCTTGTCTGTGGATTTTAGGGAGCAGGTAAAAAGTCCCTGGATTGGGTAGTGGAGGGATCAGGGTCTGAAGTTTTTCTTGTAGTTCTGATGGAAATGATCTGATGATGGTTTTAAGTTTTGAGGAAAAAAGGGGAGTGGGATCTTCCTCTAGTTTTTTGTAGTAGGTAGTGTTGGAGAGTTGTTTGTTGGCTTCTTTTGTGTAGTCTTCACGGTTAAGGATAACTATAGCTCCTTCTTTATCTGCTGCTTTTATTACTATTTGGTGGTTGGATCTTAGAGATTCTATGGCCCTTCTTTCTGAGAGGGAGAGGTTGTTATGGAGGTGTTTGTTGTGACATCCTTTGACACTTTTAGCTTCTCTCATTCCTTGGAGTCTCTGACCAGCAGAGACTCCCTATGCCTGAAGAAGGGTGACTGCATCTGAAAGCTTGCCTAAAACATTTTTCCCCAGCTACTCAGTTGGTCTAATAAAAGATATCACTCAAAGAACCCTGCCTGCCATAATTAAGATTAAATACTTCAGGACCCCAGTCATGGACATTACCATAATGAGGATCATGGTTTGGTCATTGGTGTCTGTGGATCAGGAGGGAAAGGGAGCAAAATGAAAGTTCCACAAAGTAAGGTGATGTGTATTTTACCTTTGTGTAAACTCTTCAAAATGGTATTGAGGTCAAGACAGATATTTGCTGGGAAGCTGGAGCTGGGCAGCTGGACTGCAGGTTTGTGTACTTTATAAGGTAGAAGATTGTGAAAGGAATAAGGTGATTCTGTCATGGAAGGGAGCTTGAAGCAAAGGAAGGGTAGGTGCATATTACAAATTCAGAGGGGGGCTGAATTTTATTCTTCGTACCTTAACACACTTCAATGAGGATTACAAAGTATAACACTGGCTAATTATTAAACCCCCCTGCCCCTAAGTTCCTTTTACAACTTATTTTAAATGTACATAGAATACTTGTCCTTAGGTTAATAAGGAAGTAAACTGATGAGTTCTGATATTATCTATCCATCAATTATATAAATAATATGTGGAACAAGTAGTAATAATAATACTCAGGACTTAGATAATTCTATGTTTTCCAAGTGCTGTACAAATAAAATTTGACCCTTTATTCCTTTTTTTTAATCTTAGTAAAACTAATTTTATTCAAGCAGGTTGTATTCTGGCTCTACATTTTCAAAAGTGATTTGGGGTTCCTCAGTTTTTGGTTACTTAAGGGGTACTGACCACCAAAAGATTTTAAACCTTTGGAAGCCACGATTCGTTAAAGTGGCAAGTTGAATAGCTAAACATGGAGTAACTCCAAAATATAATGTTCCGTTTAAAAGGTTATTGATTAAGTGTTGTCAAAAAGAATATTAAATTAGAGCAACAAAGCAGATTTGTATGCAGCCTGAGGGGAGCATCACAATTTTTTTTACATAAACAGGCTGACTATTAAAAATTATCCAAGAATCTACATCAGTCTTACCCAAACGACAGAGTGAACCAGACAGCTGTTAGCTTGATTGTATTGTCTTTGACAGGGTAGTTAAAACATCTCATAAATGTTAACCAAATCTGTAATATATGAGAAAACAAGCTTATTTTCAAAGAGAATTTTAGACAATTTAGTTAAATTATAGAAGATTAAGTACTGATTCTCTGCTTTATCAAGGTAGCAGTAAACACGAGACAACAGGGACGATATTACAGCTGCAATTCTCAGGTCAGATCTCTACCCTGGGGTAGGTAAAAGCACCTTACATCTATCTATAATATACTTTTGTGGCCTCCATTTTGACTACTTCCAACATTCTTAACTTCTTGGCAGCTTTTAAACAATCACCATGTTAAAAAAGCACCTGAAACCAAAACCAACCCCCCAAAAAATAAACCTGTCTGAAATGCTTTCTTCTTCTGAGTGTGTGACAGGCAGTATTCCACATTGGAATGGTGTTGTCTTTAAGGTCTGATATGTGATGATCAATTACAGATAGAAATGGATATACGGAGGAAAAGGAACTGCGCCTGCCCCTGTGTTTGAAGCTAAACAGTGGAACTGGCTGAAAAATAGTTTTCCACTACAGCTTCAAAGCTGTCCCTCCCTTGGAGATGGGAGAGAACATGTTAGTTTGACCAGGGTCCTGATTAAGAAGAGAATGGAAACAAACTATAACAGCCCTGCAATTCCTATGAGATACAGTACAAACTGATGCAACACATATATTTTTTTTATTTTCAACTGTTCAGGGATTTTTGTTTGTTTCTTAGTAAAAAAAAAATCAACACTAACATTTTTACAACTTTATTTTCAATGGATATCAGTTCTGACTGAAAAATTTTGACCAGCCAACATTTTTTTCAGTTCTATTAAGTCTTAAGATGTCAGATTCAACACTGTAAAATTTTGGGTCATTTTGGTTGCTTCTAAATTCATAACATCTTATTTTTCTTTTCAAGTTTTACATTGTAGAAATCAAAGTAACAGAAATTCCTTGATTTTATAGAAAACAGACCCAATAAACTTATTTAAATTCTCTGATATATTATTAAATATTATTTTCTGTAAAGTATTTGGCATATGTTCTACAAATGATGGTTTAGTGTCCAATAAAGGTTTTATTGACACTTTTATGGGATGACCTGCATAACACATTCAAGGTTTTATTGTTTATCCTATCCTAAACTAATATTGGTAAAACCTTTATGTTGTTATATGTTTATACCCTTTTGATACTTATTATGACCTGATGAATAATGCCCTGCATTTGAAACCTTGTCTAACTCTATCCCAGCTATGCAGCTAGTTCCATAAAAATATCACCCTAAGAAATCCTTGCCTCTGGCAAAATTCATGAAACATTTTGGCTACATCACTGTAGCACTACCACTGTTACATTTGTATTGATTTATTATTACACTTGTGAAATGTATGGGCAAATGTAACAGCAATGGTTAGAACATACTCCCATACTATACTTAGGAATTACTCACATACCAGAGTCTTTTTTCTGAAGAATGGAGCCATCACCAGTGCTTTCATGGGCCCAAGAAACTAGAATCTTATGATTTATTTTGGACTCAGGGGTCATATTCTGTGTATGGCACAATAGCTGTCTGAGCAGTGGTGCTTAACCTTTTTGATCGGTGTGCCAGATGGGCAGTGCCCAGGCCATCTGAGGACTGGATCTGGCTGATCGTAGTGATCTGGCATGAAGTGACTGCAGCAGGGTCCCATCCAGCCATGCAGAAGGGGACAGGGGACATCACAATTCCAACCTGGCTCCATGGTGGGGAAAGGAAGAGGGTATGGTCCAGCCCTATGAGAGCCAGGGGGCATTCCAGTTCCAACTTGGCCCTGTGGGGGAAGGGTGTGTACTAGCCCAGTGCCATGTGGGGGACAGGGGGTGTGGCCCAGCCCCAAACCAGCCCCATGGAGGAAGTGGGCTTGAGCTGGCCCCAACCCAGCCCCATGGGAGAAAGGGGGCATGACCCTACCCCATCCAGGCCCGGGGAAAAGGTATGACCTGGTCTGATCCAGCCATGGGGGTGGGAGGAGGGGGTGTGAGCTGGCCCTGGCCTGCTGTGCAGGGCTCAGGGTTTGGGAATTCTACAGTGGAGGAGGGTGTCTATATTTATTGCCACCACTCCCCCACTGCCAAATTTCCAAATCCATGGGGAGCCCTGTGGGCTGGATATGTATGGCTCCACAGGCTATATTTGGCCCATGGGCTGGAGGTTGAGTGCCCCGGTCAATAGCATCAGGTCACTCCATCAATCCCATTTCTGGACACTAATTAAAGTACAGAGAATAAATCAAGAATCAATTAGAACATTGCTTTTTGTTACTTACACTGTATAACTCTGTGCGGATTCTAACAAAACACCTTCGATACCAAGTTCCTGTGTCACTCTCAATTTCTATGAGCTCATCTATCTGTTTTGGAGTTTTGATTCTGTTAACCTGTAAAATAGAAGCATAGCAGCAGTTTTTGCACTGAAAATTTAAATCAGCTCCATAAATCAAAGATGGACATACCTGAAGGCTCTATGTCTGCCCTAGGAGCACCTTATAGGTATAGGCATACTGATGTGTTCTACTGTGGATACTGGTGAACTAGCAGAACTGTACTTTATATCAAATTAGAAAAACAATCCTGCATTACTTATCCTGGTAAAAGTATACTTTGCTGGTGTGACTGTGTCTATATGAAGGGTGGGCACAGCTGTTTTGGACAGGGAACACACTACTCCCCATTCCAGACTGATATAGCCAGGCCAACAGAAGTATGTAATATAGACTTGCCTTTGGGCTAGATTTTCAGAATATCTTAACTGGATGTTTATGACTTTCAGTAGCATATTTACACACTTAGTGTAATTTACATGCACAAACTAGGATGCAACTGCATACAGTTTTGCTCAGGGGCCTATATGTCTAAATATTCAAACACTAGTTTATGTGCAAAAAATTACACAACTTTACAAAAAACTGGGAGGCTAACTGAAAATTTGGGATTTTAGGTGGTATTATGAGGACAACTTTCTTACAACTTGAATAAAGTATGCGATGAGTTGGCCTTACAACTTGTTTTCCAATTTGAAATATACACTTTGTTTTTGGAAAAGAATAAGGTAGAATATGTAGTATATCAAACAAAATGTAGCAGGACTGATTCAATTCTCTTCTCTTGTCCCACACAAGAGGCAGTGATGTCATTGTGGGGCGGAGACAGGGGTAACCACCCTGGGGTCTAAATTAATGGGGGGAGGAGGTGCAAAGAAAAGTGGCTTCTACCCGCAACCATGCATTTGGGTTTGCAATCACCACGGTAACCAGAAGTTGCTGCTTCCACTTTGTCCCAGGCACCAAGCCACATCCCTACACTGCTGGGTTCACAGGAGGGATCAGGGGGGCAGGCAGATCCTTGGGGAGGATCAGGTGGACAAATAAAAAAAGGTGGTGGAAGCCCGGGGCTAAAGAGGCTCAGCCCCTCCAAACGTGGGTAAGGCCACAAGGCAGCCTCGCTATGGGCTCCAGGAGGCTGCAGCAGGGGTGAGGAGGGGCACGCACACAGCTAGGATTGCAGTCCGGCATGTGGATCTCTGGCTGCCCAGCACGGCAGGCAAGTACCAGCCTATTCAGTGAAGGGGAAGGGGCAGGGGGCAGGGCAGATTGAGGCCCTACAGTGAGGGAGGAGTGGGGCAGGGGCAAGGGCAGGGGTGAGTGGGACCCTGGCCAGGCGGGTGCTGGGGCAATCAGAGCCCAGGTGGCTTGTCCAGGGGCATGGGGGGCTCCTGCTGCTGCGTGTACCTTGGCAGAGGCCCGGGGGTCACATGCCCCCCTGATCTGTGTGCGGGGCGGAGGCGACTGCTACTGCGCACTGGGCTCTGACTCTGCTACAGCTGCCCCAGGAGCGGTATGATGCCATATGTGTCCCACTGCTGGATTGGGCTGCGCTGCCTGTCCGGTGGTGGGACAAACATGGTGTTGAACCATTCCCAGGGCAGCTGCAGTGTGATCAGAGCCCAGTGCACAGTGGTAGCCACCTCTGCCCTGTGCACAGATCAAGTGGGCATGTGAGCCCTGGGCCTTCCCTGGGGTGCACATAGTGGTGGAAGCCACCCCCTGTAGCCCTGGACAAGCTGCCCAGGCTCTGACTGTCCATAACCTGGCCTGGCTGGGGCTCCAGTAACCCCAGCCCCTACCCCAATCCTTCCCTCACCGCTGGGGACTTGATCTACCCCCCTGCCCCTTCCCCCACAGACTTACCTGGTGGGTGGGGGTGGGGGGAGGGAAAGTACATGCACATGTGCATACATGCTAAGCCCCCACAAATATTTCTTTCTCCCTCCACCTATGCAAATAGGGTCCATGAGGAAGACTGTGGGGAAGGGGGGTCTGGGATGGTTTGGCAGCATCAGGGGGACTAGTGGGGTCTGAGAGGGGTTTTTGCAGAGAATGGGGGGCTCTCTCCCGCCCCCAGACCAGTAGCTATTTTTAGACCCCCTCCCCTCCACCCCCAGGTGAACACCCACTCCCCTGGTGAACCTCTGCCCCCTGGTCCTGCCTGTCCCTCCCCACAACCCAACTTACTTCAATCAACACTGGTAAAACCAGCACCGGGAATGCCTTGCAGGGCAGGGGGTTTGGTGGGTTTGGAGGGAGCTGGCTGGTCCTCAGGGAGGTTCATCTGCCTGGGGGAGGGAGGAGGGCCCAGGGGAACTAAAAATAGCCTGATGCCAGTCCAAGAGATTGGAAAAGCACAGTCCCAGCTGGGGCTAGCAGCTGAGCTTTCTCAGACCCAGGGCTCTGCTGGGAACTGTACAGAAGTTCAGTTAGATCAGTCTTGCCAGACCTGATCCAAGTTAGACTATCTCCAAGGTAGGATTATCTTAGATCTGGTTGGCCATTTTTACGCTGATTTAAACTTTCTGAACTTCTGTGCAGTTTGCACTTAAATCCCTAATTAGGTCAAACTAAGTTAGATTAGGTGGCCATTTTTAATACGATCTAACCTTCCTCTAACCTCCCCAAATATCTCTACTGAGCATATTACAGCATTAAAAGGTTAAGCGTGGGCCAGGGTTGTGTCAAACTGTTGTTGAGTTATTATCATTGTACTATTTAAAATGTATTCCTTTACTAAATATACCAGAAAAGAAAAGAAAAGAAAAGAAAAGAACCCAAACAATCCTCAAACTGTTCTTTCCCCTTCTCAACAAAACCCAATCAAAGCACCTGACGTGTAAAGAATGGCTTTTAACTATTTCTTTTATTATCTTTCCCTTTAGCTATAGAGATTTTTAGCAGGAACCCCATCACTCTTTGGCAGACTTTCAAATAGCTGTCTGCCTTGAAGAGAAAGAGTAGTAGAAATGGTCTGGAGCTGTTGTTAAACTCCCAATACTGTATTCTCTATGATGAGATGAGATGAGATAAAAAGGAAAGTCCAAGATAGGAAATGAGATTGCCTCACATACATTGACTCTCACTTACAACTTCACAGCTGGAAGAACACAAACAGCCATGGTCTTATCAGCCATGCTGGGACCTGACAAACTCATGAGTTTCAGACAATTTATAATGCTATTAGTTGCTTCTTTGGGCATTGGCTCAGCAATGTTGCCAAAGGTTGTGTTGGCTGGCTGAGCCAGATTTTTTTCCTTTTTCTTTTTTAAAAACAGATGACAAATGGAAAGAAACTGGAAAGCATGCATATGAAGTAGGGAAAAGAAATGACATACAAGATAGGGGGTATGGACAGTAACTCAAGGCTCACAATCCAGGTGTTGTTCAGGATTTGGCTATAACTGGTAGAGGTGACAATATCACCTGCTTTCCCTCAGGGCGCAGAGAGAAGTAACAATTTTTGCCCGATCTGGCTACAGAAAGCAGTCTACAGCCATGACTAAATACACGTGCATTTCTGCAGACAGCTTCGAGAATGGCTGATCAGGTGAAAATCTGAACCCTCAATGCATAAGGGGGGAAGGGCGTGGAGAGAGTTCAGTCTGGGGGTTTTTCAGTCCCTGCTAGAGGGTGAGGCAGATGTATTGAGGACCCTTTCTCCCCACACCTCAGGAGGGCTCCCAATTCACCCACCTCAGCCTCTAGTGCCAGCTGGGGAGCTCCCTCTGCTCTCTTTCCCCCCTCCCATTCTGAAAACAGGGACAGACTGGGAGGGAGGAGGGGCCACTGCCGGGGGAAATGGGCTGTACACTGCAGCCAGCAGCTAGATTCCCCTCCACCCTGGAGACAACAGTGAACTTCTGCTTGGTCTGGGGGGATCACTGTAACTTGGAACGCTTCCTGCAAAGCATTCTGAATTACGGTGTGGAGCTGCGCTTTTGTCTGCACCCTCAATGACCCAGCCTGGCTAGGATGCTTTACACACCCCTAGGACAAGAGAGGCTCAGTGATGTCATGGTGTAACACCAGACTGTAGGGAAAGACAGGAGGTACTGCTATGAAGGTAAAGCTCCTTTTCATTCCACCCATCTCCCATGCTCACAGCATGTACAGATATTTGCTCTCCCAGGAGAAACTCTCCTAGAATTGACTCTGGTTGTTCAAAGGTAATTTTTTTTCTTGGAGTGGCCATTTTTACTTTGGGAGAAAAAGTCTGAACATATGTATACTTGTGGGAGAGCAGCTGTTCCCCCAGGAAAAACACATGGTTTGTACAAGGCCACAGTTTCCAAGAAGGGGTGGTACTTATTTCATTAACATTAATCAGTTTTAATTATAAACATTTCCCCATATTTTTAGAATTTTCCACTTGTCATGCCAGCCCATTACTTTATTAGAAGCCTTGAAGATCTTTTATTAGAGTTATTTTAACCTAAAAAATCTTGTCTGTATCAATCTAAAGGTCTCGAGCTTTTGCTAGCTTTTCTAGATAACTTTTATGTAATAAGCTAAGTTGGATTTATTTCATTTTTGGACAACTGAGTAAAAAGGCACTTGCACAACATAGCTGCAGTTTAGACCCCTAAATAGATTAGCTAATGATCAGAAATGAATATGCAGTGCTTGCATATTTAAAATGCTGTTTTAAGTTGTTTTTTTTTCCTGAGAAGGGAGAAGTGGAACATAACTGACCCAAACCATGTATTTCATCATAGGTTTCAAAGTAGGTCACTGTATTATTCAGGAGCTTAGCTCTTCCCCTGACTCTTTACCAGCAGTGTGACAAAGTTGCAATGCTTCCTGCTCAGAGCTATGCTTTAGCAACTAATGTGCTCTGGCTACAGGTCAAAATGGCAGGCTTTTTAACCTGAGTTCTGGTAGCAAAATAAAAATTTTCCTCATATAGATAATCATGATTTCTGATAGAGGTAGGAAACATGTTTTAACAGAAGGAGGTAACTCCATACCAACGCAGCTATAGGATAAGCTGCAAAACCAATGACAACAAAATACAGTTTTACAATCCCCTGAAGAAACTAACTCAATCATTT